GTGACAACGAAAGCTCTTGTGAAGATTTATGTTTTACAATGAGCATGACTTTCAGGTTGGGCATACATGTGTTGGAACTGTCGGTGATAGTTTTTTTGAAAACTCAATTCCAGATAGCTGCTGAATATGCAGGGTTCTTCTTTCCTGCCGCATTTCTTACTTCGCACAACTGAAGCATCCGGCAGGCCAGCAAGCTAGCTCTTTCATGAAGCTTTAATTCTTTTTTGAATTTCCAACAATTGCATCCGGATTTGCTTTTTTCCCAGGGTGAGTCAAAAACCCTGCCTAAGGAGTTTCTCAAGTCCTTTCTGGCACTGCATGAACTAAAAACTACTGAAATCTCAATGGGAAGTGAGTGGCCCGTTAACGTTACAACGTTGGATGCAAACGGGAAAAGAAAATTGGTTCCGACTAGGGGAACAAGTCGCGAGTATATATGCAAGGGTACGAGGAGGGCCCAACGAAAGGAAGGACAAAGTTGCGGCTCCAAAAAGTTTTGTTTATCATCATGAACGAATTGGAACGTGAAACAAGTAATGAGTAAAGAACAAGCAGCTCACCAGCTATAAAAAAAAAGCAGGAAAGTGAGCAAACAAGTTTAATACGTCATGGTCACCGTTATCAGCCTTGATGATTGCCTATGACAGTTATTGTCATCTCTTGAAGAAGGTGTTTTGTCATTCGCGCCTTTTTTTTAATTTCATCAGATGGCTTAGTTAATAAAACTTTAACGCCATTGGAGTCGAGCGTGCCTTCCCTCAGATATGATGCTTTTATTGCCTACCTTCGCTTTTAAAAAGGTTTCCGACAATACCCTTTTGCAGTATTTTATGCACTTGTTTGCGGTACTTTCGTGCTTCTAAACTTTTCTGTTAGCTGTCTAACTGTTTAGCATTAAGATTTCGCTTTAATCATTATGGCGTTGCAAAAGTGTAATTTGTCTTCAGCGCGTGGTATAATGGGTAATTACTGCGTTTTGTAATTGTATGCTGTTGAATCCAGCCTTCGCTGAAAACTACCCTTTGCTGGCCTAGAGTACTTCTACTAATGTAGCACTGCTTATGGTCAGAATCAGCAACTCCTTTAATTATGCCGTACGAGGGATCACTGGATTTTATTTACACAGCCAAAACGCTGTAATTACATAGGTATTTTTCTTCAGACCAGAAAATGTCAAGAATTGCGAAAACTGTACAGGAGGATTATGTGGAGAGTGGATCTGATCCTTCCAAATTTCTGAATCTCTGGCCAGAAAGAGCAATTACCGTCCGTCATGCCTAATACATGAGAAATGAAGGTGAGTTGACAATTTAAAAGGAAAATATTTGGAGTTGAGTACACTGAATTGTAAAAGCGTTGGTAACACGAAACAGAGTGCTACATAACTTAGAAATAGCATAAAAACAGTTCCTCTTGTAAGCTTTTGAAGCAGTGTCAGTCATACTTATCGGTGACCTCTGAACCACAATAAACATTTGTTAATTAACATAGCCTTTGCAGAAGACAGATGAGTATGCGCGTATTTTAACCCCTGGGCACTCGCAGGGTGCTGAACATACTGTGTCAGGTAAAAGGGCCTGGATTTTTGCCAAGGTTGCCGGGATTTAGGTTCCGGAAAACTGTAGCCAAATAATTTCAACAACGCCAATTTTAGTTTGTCAGCTGATGGTTTGACGACTGAAACTTTCTGAATATACATGAATATGTATATATACGAAAGAGATATTTTTAATGACCGTCTTGACTTTTTTAATTTCCACATGCGCCGTTGTTTAAACTTATTGCAACGGTTCGCATCAAGTGGTTCTTAAAGTTGTTCGGAAGTCAAATAAGTTTACTGTTTAGAGGAATAAGAATTAAACCTACCTTAGACTTGTACTCGTGAATTTGGATTTTCCAAGCTGAAATAGACGCAGTTCGTTTCTTTAGCCTTCACGCTGTATTGTGTTGCCGATACTGTTATTGTTTTACAC